TCGGCCCACGACCTCAAATAATTAAAGGTTATGTTCGATCTCATTCTAGTTAACACCTTTTCGGCCCACAACCTCAATTAATCAAAGGTTACATTCGGCCTCGTCCGAATTAACACCTATTCGGCCCACGAACTCAATTTTTTCAAAGGTTACATTCGGCCTTGTCCGAATTAACACTTATTAGGCCCACAACCTCAATTAATTAAAGGTTACATTCGACCCATTTTGAATTAATACCTACTTGGTCCACGGCCTTAACCAAATGATGGCTACCTTCAACATCGTTCAGCCCACTCAAACAAATTTGTTACGACAAAGGCAATCAAGTAACAAAATAAGAAAAGCGCACAAATCCGAACAAAGAAAAGAAGTCAGGTACGAATACCAAAACTAACATTTCATACTTAGAATACTTTTTACAAAGACTGCACGCCTACAAAAACTACACACGTCCGTGGCTAAAACAAAAAAGAACTAATTACCGCCCAACTCAGCAGCGCCACCCGCTTGATCGCCCAGACCGTCTTCACCCATCTCATCGCCAACAGAATATTAATCCTTATACCAAATATCTTGTTCAATCCGATCCACGCTTGCACCCTCCTTATCATCGCCAGCTTCCGGTGTAGTGAGATCATAGCCACAAGCAAACCGATCTTTATGTGCCTTAGCATGTGCATCTTCGAAGTCGGTTTCTGAAACATCCCCCGCCCCCATCAGATCCCTAAATATATCCAGCTGAGCCTCAGTGTGAATCCATTACTCATACAAATCTCGAGGAACATCAGGAAAAGCAGAAGCGCGGGAGGAGGAACTGAGCCAATAACTCTAACTTTTCGGCCTCAAGAGCAGCAACTCGATCGCTAAGGCCCGAAGCTTCTTTTTCTAACTCCCCTATCCGCTCATCAAGTCGCTCCTCTCTGAGACTAGCCGTCTCCAAAGCGCAATCCCGCTCAGAACGGAGAACGCAGATCACGACCTCTAAAGCCTATATTTTCCTTGCAGCCGATAACTAGGCTTAGTCCGCCTTCTCCAAACCCGTCACCTTCTCGGTGACCTTGCCACTCAAATCAGTCATTTTGAGCTGACACTCCTCAAGCTCGGCACGCAATGAGACTACTTGGGCTTTAAGGTTGGCACATTAGGCCTTGAGCCCCCTACTCACCACGAGCTCCTCTTCTTTGTCCCTCAACGCCCCCTCGAGTTCACTACATTTTCCGATGACCCTCACCAACTCGTCATCCTTCTCCTTCAATTCGTCTCGGAGAGCCCAGAAATTGCTGCTCCCTCCAAGATGCCTACAAAGCTCACGGTTCTTATCACGGTATTTGCAATATTTTTGCTCCATCTTGTGGAAAATGGCCTTACGCCTCTCCTCTCGGCGGGCACTCTCGATCTCCAAGATCACAGTATGAAAGAAAGCCATAGAGAGTAAGAACAAAACTGGATTCGACATACAAAATGAAAAAAGAATAAAAATGAAGAAAGATCAACGGCTTACCCTAAAAGCAAGGCCATCTATGCTCCTCGACAAAGTAGCATCCTTCAGTTTCTTAAGGGTCTTACCATCCACATCGGAACAAAGGGGACCAAGAGAAGGGACCATTCCCTCCATATCAACTAGAATATCCCGGTCTAAAGGGATGACAATTGTCTGCGTGGTCCCGTCCAATCTCACCTCGAGTCGGGTGAATCCTTTCCCCATTATCCTAACTTCCTTGGCGTCCATATTGGAGCCCGTCTCATAACCTTCTTCGGCTACACTTTTTCCCTTTGTGTCAAACCAGGAATAAGGAACCTCGGCTGGTAACGAGGGCGATGGCTCATCCCTTCGTAAGGCGTCAAGGACTCTCGCTGACGGCCCATCAAAATCCAATATGGCCTCAGGGAGAAACGTACATTCCTCGGCCCCCGATGACGGCGGGATTGTGGGCAGTAACTCGGCATCATCTCTAAGGTCAATGGTCATCATTTCTCGTATGACGAAATCCTCCATCACCGAACACCCCGCACGGGTAGCTCTTTCGCTGATATCTACAAATCGCCTCTTGCGGAGAAACAAGTTATCATCATTCGGCAATGATCCTTCCTCATCATCTTCGTCCATTAGACGAGGCAAAGGGGAAGTCGACAGCACTACTGCAGTAGTCGACGACCGAGCGGGCTTCAGCACCGCAGAAAGAATAGAAGTGTCCTTCCTCTTACGGAATGCCGAAACAGGAGCCTTCTGCCTTCTCGAAGGTCCTTGGGTTGCAAAAGAAAAATTGAAGACTGTCACTTCATGCTCAAAATTGTAACGAGCAAGCGACCATGAGATCAAAATGGCATGAACAAACTCAATGGTCGTTGGAATCTTAGGCCCGAATTTCTTGATAAAAGCCGTCCATTCACGAATCCCCACTATATAAGGCAAGACTTGGCTGACTCAATCATGAATATCTGTAACCAAAGGAGGGGCGAAGTCTCGGCTAAAGGAGAAAAGGCGGAATGTTAGACTATGACTTAAATGAGCAAAATAAATGCTTGGCAAGAGATACTTACGGGCATAATTCCAAGCCTCGGGAAATCCAGTCATGTTGGCCACCACGTTCTCGGTCTTGACGAAGAAGTAGCTGAGCCAGAATTGGTGATTTACTTTAGCATCCATCATCACTACCATACTTTACTGCCTTGGTGACGAAGATGCAGCATCGACCCTTTATAGAAATTAGGGGCGAAGAAGCACATTAGGTGGCTAAGAGAGACCTCACGGCCATCCAACTCTGCATATTTCGTCAACATACGGATAAACTTGTAGATATAAGGGAAGAGTTAGGTCACGCAGACGCCATAGCAGTGGTAAAATTCCTCCGCCAATGGGAGAAGAGGAAAGAAATACCCTACATAAAATAGATACGCATAAAACGCGCAATATCCTTAGCGGTGTATTTGCACCACGTCTCGCCCCGCCGGAACCAGATCGATGTGAGTTGGAATATTGAACTTTGCCCTAAAATCAGCAAGATCGACCTCATTCATCACTGATTCCGAGGCCTCAGGGTCGTCTTCAGGTAACTTTGAAAAGTTGGATCTATTCTTTTCACTACGAGGAATTATTTCCTCCCCCGTAGGAAACTTATCAACCTCAAGGGCAACAGAAACACTATCGCCGTGAGGAGGCATACGTACTGCCAAGGGTGGGTTAGCCGTCGTACCGGAGCTAGAGGGTGTGTTAACCATGTTCTTGAAGGAAGATGTTTTAGGCGTAGAAGTTGGAAGCAACGAAGGTCGCTAGAATCAAGAGAATGGACACGCAACGATGAAGCAGAAAGGAGACTAAGGTTCAATATAGAGGATAAAAGAGAGAAAGTCAGGGAATCCAATATTATAAGAATGCAAAACAAACACAAATGGCCTTAGAACCCTATTTATAAGAGTGCGAGCACCAAAATCGAGAAATCAGGCCATCATTACCCAGTGCAGGTATCGAAATAACAGAGGCGCAAGAAACGACGCAAAGCATCGGGAAAACGCATCATAATAACGCATAATGTCATGACGTTATTCTGAAACAACGCATCCCCAAAGTTTGCAACTCACGAAAAGTCATGCCGCCACCTCGCCTAAAGCGCCGCTATCCAACTTGCTCACCCAATTTCATCAACTACGACAAATAGAGTCCGCCCATCAAGGTCGTCTGATCTCGATCTTAATAAGCGGAGGGACTAACTGTATGGGCCAAAATCTATCTTCAGAATATTTAGCGTAATATGGAATTGAGGAACGTTATTGGTCGAGCTTACCCAAGATGTAGCAAGGTCAATGGCCTAGATGTCGACATGAGTCGTGGTCAAGATACCGACAAAGATCACGGTCAAGACGTCGATAAAGGTCAAAGTCGAGGTTGATTACTAATAATAAGACTAGTAACGACTAATTTGTTAGGATAGGGTACTAAAAGAAAATATTCTAGTGGATATTCCTTGCATTTGTACTATTACGGTTTACTAGGAAAAAGGCCCCATATATGTAGAAAGAAGAGATAATGATAGGGGCATGTAGTATTATTTCTGGTAAGAACACTTTTGAGAAGAAGACTCTCTCTCTCTCGCAAAAACACAAAAATTACCTTTTTATAAAGATTCTTGTTCGTATTATTCCCCGATTTTCCATCAGATCCAAGGATTGTTCATGCGAATCTTAGATCTATCTGTCATTCATCATTGTCAGGCAGAATATATATTTTGTCCATCCATTATTGGGTGAATCTTTCTCTTTATTTACATAAATATCATTTATTGACATTTATTGTTAGTTATATCTCCCTTAATGTTCTTGTTGTAGAGTATTTTACATTTATTGTCACCAACCATATATGGAATCGGTCTCATCTACTATACGTCTTTGTGCTTAATATCTAGAGTTATTATCCTTAACTAGATTTAACCCTTCGTTATATAAATCTAATAGTTTAATCGGAAATTATATTTTTAGGCCAAACAGTCAGCAGTAGTAAGTTCAATCTCATTTGGCCTATCTGACACAAACACATCCCAGTAATAACAAACAGAATTTATTACCGATACTGTATCTGCCTCGTTGCTTCCTGCAAAAACTTGAAGAGAATTGTAGCACCATATGGACAAAGATTTTATGGGTAAAACTTGTTGTCCTTAAAAACAATGGAGGCAGAAGAAGGTCCAAAATACAAGTATGCATCTAATAGATTCGGCAATTTCAGCACAGAACAAAGACTTTGGTTGGTGAAATTCTAGAGTAGGCTAAATTAGATGTGAAAGACTAATAATTCACCAACCGATGATTTTAATTTAAGTTACATAATTAACGTAATTATATGACCAATTTTGAAGATGGGACAATGTCACTTGAATCTGGTCAACTATTTGTGTAAAGATTCGGAAAAAGAAAAATTACTTCATGCAAAATTCCCTTTCTTGAATTAATAGCCAAATGATGCCACTAATCCAACCTTATACTTTGAAGAACAAAAAAAAAAAAAGTAAGAAAAGAACCACTGCATAAATTTTGTCTTACAAGACAATTTGTATTTCATTCCATACAATATTACTCTTTTTACAATAACCAGCGAGGACTTTGGTCTAGTGGTGAAAGTACAACCCGTGATGTGTGGGTTAAACAAATATCACGAGTTCAAACTCATCCAAAAGCCTATATTTAATTAAGTGAACAAGGGTAAAGGGCCGGGCCCATATTCAACAAGTTTCGAAGGGAAAAAAGAGTTAACAAGCGGACGCATTATCGAGCGAGTTTGGACTATGTGCCACTGATCCTCTAGATTTATCCGTTATGAAAACGAACTCTTTTTACAATGATGATTGTGTGTTAACCTAGGTATCACTCAACATTAATTGCAATATGTGCTTCTCCAATATTGCCACTCGGGATTCTGTTCTTGCTCCCCAATCGCTTTGGTTTCGATGCCAAAATCTTGAATTTCATAAGAACAGCAAGTTGATTAACAGAGTCCAAGATTTCCACAGAGCTGGTTACTAAATCTAGAACAAGCGAAGCTACTCTTGTCGTCGGAAGCAGCTGCCGCAACTCTGCTTCTTCACTCAAGCTACCACTTCTAATTATGGACCTTAGTTTTTCAGAAGCTGCTTTTGCCTTTAGAATATGAGAATCAGTTGTTGGATAAATAATCATTGTTTTCATTGACAATGCTAATTCTTTCAATGCACATCCACACTCTACGCTCATTTTTGTGCATGGTTCTTGAATTCTTTCCTTTCCTTCTGGTGTCTGAAAATGTAACATATATTTACAATTAGCTCTTTAATATGTAACATTTTAACTTGGATTTAAGTTATATACAGTAACAATGTAAACAACTTTTACACCATCAGTTCAATTTAACTTGCTATAACAGGTTAACGTACCATAATGCAGGAGCTAAGACATGAGTTTAAAGCGTCGATGTTAATGGCACAATCACGAACAAGATCTCCGATTTTCAAGTATTGTTCCCATGGATGTCTGTACCTGAATTTGCCATGTCGGGGCTCCCATTTTGCTAAATTGACCTAATACAGGGAGAAATTGCAATGTTAGAATTATACTATTGTATTGAATCAATAGTGATTTTTGTTTCAGGTTGGTTTCTGACTAACCAGATTTACTTCATTAGCTTTTGAGTGGATAATACATTTGTATTCCTCAAGAAATGTTCTGTCTAGTTCTTCCAAATTGACGTCAAGTTTCTTGAAGTATTGATTTCCATATCCTGTAAATTTAGGTAACAAAATTTAATACGCAGAAAATTTTGACTAAACGATCGAATCACGTCACTACATATAAAATCATATAATATTAGTCATGTTATATTGACTCATACACCAATGTCGCTGTTGGTTGGTACACATCTGACCATGACATTGGCATTTTGAGCTTCCAACAAGCTTTTAGCAATATTGGCATGATTTATATTTATTTATTAATTAAACTTTCACTTATGTTATGTTGATTTGACACGACAACCTTATCAAAATATTCTCGCTCTGATATTCTTTTATATGTCATTTTAGCAACAAAAAGGATGGTCTAAAATATTAGCCACTTAAGAAAAATCTAGAAGGTGTAACTCTCCTTATTTAAACTAGTTTCTCGTCACGTGTGTTGCACGTGTATGCCCAATCATATAATATGCGATTTGTAAAATAAAATAAATAAAGTATTGAAACAGAAATTTTGAGTAAATAATTATAAATGAAGAATAAGTACAATTTTAATGAATGATGAATGTGAACTAACAATCGCCGAGATCAAGATGATTGGATATCGTCAAGACAATTATTGTTTTCGTAACATGCATTACTGGAAAATGTTTTATGGAAATACTAAGTTATGTCGCACACACCAAAAATATTTAATTTATCAAAGTGTTAGGAGTACTCTCGGCACGTGTGTTGCACGTATATGCCGAGTCATGTGGTATTTAATTTTATATAATAATATCATCATTACTATTGAAATAAAGCTTTTGAGTATATAAGTACATGAAAGAATTAAGTATATATGTGAATGATCAATGTGGAATGGTGATTTATTTATCAAGAACAAAATAATTTAATCGTCTAAACTTACGAAGATGAACAATCAACAATCATACTTATATTTTACAAGCTGCATATATTATATTATATTTCATTTATATAGGATATAAAATGAACACATGTAATAATAACTTAATCTTTTATTTGTAACTATTATCTCTCTTATTTTACTTCGTCCTTTTACAATATATGATTTTATTATTACTAAAATAAAAACTACATCTGAAAAGTATGATATTAAAATAAGTGTGTAAACATGTACAAACATAATTAATAAATTTATATATAAAGAATTACCAAAGATAGTACCGTCAGACAAATTTCTGCAAATAATAAATGTGGATCATTGTATAGTAGTTTGTTTATTGATATCAAGATGATAGGATATCATCTAAACAGAAGAAGATGAGGCAATCAAAGTTTAATTAGATAAATCCAACTTTTTTTACTTATTTTAATCTTATAAGATACAAAATGTAGTGAAGTGTATCTTACCTAATACTTCTTTATAGACGATACTCATGACACACGTTCATTTTATCTATTTTGATTGCTCTTTCATGACCCAGACTCTTTATTGACATTGATATCCCTCTTGGAAATGCAACAAAAAACTGGCCATGTGAGAAAACATATTGTAGCAGATACGATCCAATTAGAAATTGTTTGACCAAGTATTTATTTATTATCATCGCAAAACATAAATATATGCTAAATTATTTTCGAACGAATTTGAAAGAATATCCTTCATTTTATTTGGAAGGGGAGGGGGTGGGGGAGAGACATTTGAATTCTTAGGAAAAAAGTATACTTGGCAGCGGGTTTACCCATTATAATTTTTACATGTCATTGGTTGGTTTAGCATCTTTCATTTTTTTAAAATTTCGCCATCTTTTCGGCAAAAATTTTCTCATGATAAAGTAATATTTATATTGATCACATTAATATTTTAAGATTTGCATACATTAACTTATCATAGTACGTCAATGATAATTTTTTATTAAAATTTATTTGATTTTAACCGTTATTAACATGCAAATTGCATCTGAAAAGTATGAGATTAGAATTAGTGATAATTATCGAGTAATTATGATGTGTGAAGAAAATTCAAAAATTCATATAAAGAATTACCAAATATAGTCTTGTCATTAAATTAACATCTTGCACGCGAAGTAGCTATTATTATTTTAGTTAGTATTTTAAAATAATTATTATCAATAAAAAAAAGTATTACCAACTGCATGATCGAGTAATCCAAATAATCTATTAAAAGAGAACAAACAAACTTACATTGGATATAATATTAAATTTCTAATAAAATATAAATTATTAAATAAAATTTATGCAAGTGCACGTACTTATACAAATATGATGTCACATACTTAAATAAATATACATTGATATAATTTCGTAACACGTACATTAAAAATTAAACTCACCACAATTACACATATATATATATATATATATATATATATATATATATATATATATATACATCCAAGACAATAATAAAGTTACTTAAATAACTTTATATGATAGTTTAATTGTCGGTAAATTTTTAAAACAAAGTAAATTGGTTTTGGCTTATTTTCATGAATCATGAATCAATAGTGCACTACAGGCACGTTATATTATTTTGCTTTGCTTGCATAAACTAAGAATTGAAAAATAGTATTGCTATCATTAAACAAATAATCACATATTATTAAGCCAACATTCGGGGTAGATAATTTCAAATCTTATAAAGTTTCTCCAATATCTTCAACAACAACAACAACAACAACAACCCAGTATAATCCCACTTAGTGAGGTCTGGGGAGGGTAGTGTGTACGCAGACCTTACCCCTACCCTAAGGTAGAGAGACTGTTTCCAAATAGACCCCCGGCATCCTTCCCTCCAAGAACTTCTCACCTTGCTCTTGGGGAGACTCGAACTCACAACCTCTCGGTTGGAAGTGGGGATAAAAAGTAGAAGTAAGTGCATGAAAACCTACCTTGCAAGAAGTTGCCGAGTCAAAAGTGGTATGAATCAAAATCATGAACTTTTTTATTCTAAATTTCAGTAGCCTCTCGATTTAGGCTTTCTGTTAATTAATTTCTTACTTTGTATTTTAAATTGATATGGCTGCCCAAAAATGAAACGTTTGCCTTTAGACTTCAAGGTTGTGAAGAGTCGCTAGCTTCACTAATATGAAGGGTTCATGTCTTTTCAAATAAATTTGGTGTCTTATTTAAAATTTGATGTTTTATTTAAATTCTTGGTATAAATTGTGTATTTAGGTTATTTAAAAGGGTATTTAAGTAATTTAACTTTTTAGTTAATAGCTTCCCACTTTTATAATAACTAGTTTTAGTGTACGTGTGTTGCACGTGTACATCACGTTAATCAATATAAAACGTATACAAATTATTAATAAAATAGCAATGGAGATAAAACTAAACGCAATATATGTTTAAATGATGAAAAAGATATTAGTACATTGATCTAATATATAGCTTAAGTCAACATTTTTCGAATGAATTTAGTATAATTAGTTCTATAGTATTTATCATTATAAATATTTTATTATATAAGATACGAATATGCTATAGTGCTGTATCTCATCCAGCATCTCTTTGTAAAATCTACGTTCATAATGTCATTGTACAAAAAAATATTTCTTCATTCAAAGTTAATCAAAATTATAGCCAAATGAACCTCTTCTTGTGTGAAATAGTTATCCAGA